AGTATTGACAGTAGATCCTTCATCAGTATAATAATAATATGCCAGCTTTAGCTGGCACTTATGGTAGAAGCATCGAATTGGAATAAAGAACGATAACTCTCTCTACATGATCAATCTAAAAAGTTTCGTCACTTTCGTTAAATCTCGTACGATTTTTTTTTTTAAATTTCGAAGTTAATCAAGTCAAGTTATCTAACTCTTAAAAATATTTGTTTTCTTTTTTTTTCATTATATTTATTAAATAAACATTGTATTCTTGCTTGGCTCCAAATATAAGGTCAATTCTTCAAATAATGAAAACGAAATTAGCATTGGAATATCCGTAAGGACAATTTCAGGACATTAGTTTAACCCTTATATTTTTAATGGCTGCCAGATTCTCGTTTAATCGCGATCTTGAAAAAACGGGACAAAACGGAATAAATTCGATGTTAAATGTGACATGAATTCTTATTTGTTTACAAAAACAAGAATTTAGAAATTTTAGTAACTTGTGCAGTTTATTTAAATTTTATTGTACCACGGAAATAACCGAAGTTTGGACAACAACATCTTACGCCATGTTTCGTCGTCTGCTTCATCTTTCCATTATCAGTGACAAATCTCCTGAATTACCACAGGTACTTCATTTAAAAGTCACAATATCATAATTAATGATAACATTTGAGTGTAAACATTCCGTCCAGCCATGGGAACACAGAAAAACCCTCTGCAAGCAATAAATTTTGGGAGAAACGTAGCCGGAGGCGGAGGTGAAGGTAGTAAAATCTGCTACAGAATTTCCCATATCAAGTTACAGTGATAATGAAGTTGGTTATACTGTGGAATGTGGTCACTGTTATTCCTAGCTAACAGACAAATGCAGATGTAATTCAAAACTTAACAAAAGTTTAAAAAAAAATATATATATTCAAATTCACAATCTTCTAATTTTGTAGACTGTCACTGTACTTCCTTTGACAAACTCTCAACAAATCTTGTCATTAATTATGACACATATCTACCTAAAACAGTCCCAGGAGATGGAGACTGTTTTTTTTTTTTCACTCTCTAAGTTTAATCATAGTAAAAGGAGACTTGAGTCTGATTGATACATTTAGGTATATATTGTATTGGATTTTATGGGAAATACAATGGAGTTATGATAACCCATGATAATACCATGACTTTTGATAGGTATAGAGCATGTTACTTGGAAGTATGTGGGCTACATACATCCTTTGAAATTAAAGCTGCAGACACATTATTTGGAGGCAATATAAATATTTGCCTCCCGCAGTCACCAGTATATTTTATGCGTCAGTTTAAACCTGATCAAAACATTTTCACTTTACCGAATACTTTTATCAGGTGCACATTTCAACCTATTATAGCAATAAACAATTATGGCTATAACGTCACAGTACTCAAATTGCACCAAGTACCAAATTTTCACCCTATGTGTATGTATGTATTCAACAAAAATAACTGCAGAAATCTTACAAGTTTTTTTTGAGACACAAATCGTTCACAGTGAGAATATACATGTATCAACAGATGAAGCATTCCTGGGAAAAAGTAAATCTACGAAAACATCAGTGTCGTCACCATGCGAAGTTATCTAATTATCATCTTTTAAAAATGTTAGCAACTTCACAACTACAAGTTAATTTTCATGACCAAAATAAAATAAAGTACAAACAAAACAGCAATAAAATGCTTCGCCAAGCACAGCCTGATACAACCACAGATGTAGATTTAGCATATAAAAAACACCAAAAATTTTATGTCAGTTGAAATCAAACATATTTTAATTTTGGACCCTTCAAACTTTAATATGGACTTATTTGAAAACAGGTATCAGGTGAGCCCAAACATTTCTTTTCAGCAGCAGTCTCCAACTACATATCTCCTTAAATTTATATGATAGTCCCACAAAAATGTTGAAAATGTGTACATTTAATTTTTTTTCTAGATTCTCTCATGTCATGCATGTGAAAGCGGTACCTTTTTGGTCACTATTTATGTGTTGCGTCTTAATATGAATTGTAACACTTTATAGTGACTGACCAGGTCAAACAAATACTTCTCAAGAAACATGCAGCAAAAGAAGACAACTTGGAACAGCACCAGCCATGCCAGACTATGTAGGAATAAAAACCGTGAGTCAAATCGGAATAGCATGGACGATATGTTAGTGATATGTCCTTGTGAATAGTAAGGAAAGCTATCAATAATTCCGCAATTTTATCAGGTTTATCGTACATTTTCTGTTCAAATTTTCACACAATCAGTGAATCGTTCAAAAAGGCTAAACTAAAGTTTTATTACCAGCTGATTACTGAAAGTTTCAAACAATGACAAGTGTTTCATTCATGAAATAACGTGTGCGTTTCTGTGAAAAAAATCATGTGCAATTTTGTGAATTAAAGGGAAAGAAGATCCTTTTGCGGTGCACTTGTGCATGTCAATTGCGAACTAACCCAATATATTTTCTTTATCATGACCAGTCCACTGATAATGACGTCGACATTATCAAGGACAAGGAGTACACATCAAAGGAAAAATGCACAAATTACCGATAAAATGATTTACACACACTGTTTCGTGTGTATCACCTGCCATATCAGTATTTGTTGCATTTATATATAAATGAGAAATAATCAATGTAAAAATGGTAAATTTTTGGAGAAAAAACCCAAAAATTATGGAAAAAAAACAACCCAAAAATGTTGTTTTTGACCACTGACTCCTAAACTGTTGGTACCATAACCCCCAAAATCAATTCTAACCTTCCTTTTGTGTATTGAACCTTCTGGTACAATTTCATACATTGGCATAGAGATCGATTTACTTAAACTAAAGTTATTGTCCGGAAATCAAATGTGTCTTCGGACAGCAACAGCGACATGATAGCATTACTCGAAAGCAAATTTTTGACATATTCCCCATTTCGATTCTCAATTTTATATTGCCGTCGTATAAAAACTTGAAAAGTAAGCTAATAAAACAAATTATGCAAGAAATGACATAAAACCGACTCTGAATTAGTACATGAAATTGATGTAGAAACCTACAAAAAGAAGATGATCAGGAATACATTTATACTGCTGAGCAGTGTTCTCCCCTCAAATTTTAAATAGCATCCTAGAAAATAGCAAAATCTTTAGATTATCAACTTAACAATCCTATTTATGGTTCCTTATATGCTTAGATGAAAATGAAAAACCTGATCAAAACATTATTCTAAGCAGGCTCACTGTAAATTCAAACTCTTCTTTTAACAATCAGAATGATCCTCTTGCTGATCACATATATATGAGATGCAGGAAACTGGGAATACAATATGAACAACCAGCTAATTTAGAAAGTAAAAATAATTCAACAAACAGAAAGCGTTGTTTGCAATACTAAATAAAAAAAACCGCTACAACTTTTAGATAATGATATTGATGAAAAAGATATTCCAAAATCCTCCACCTTTTCATGAAAATCAACAAAAAATTAATTTAATAAAGTTATGGATTGTATAACTGTACAGTATTCATAGTTTTGAAATTGAACAAATGTCTAATTGTTTTAAATTTTATAAAATTTGCAAAGAAAGAAAAATGGATATGAAAATGCACAAGATAATGAATGTAAGCATTGTCATTTATATAAATCACCAATAAATTCATTTTCAGCAGAAAACAATAAGGGAGCAACCATTTAGCTTCAAAGGGGGGTATGGTTTTTTGTTTGAGTCAGATTTTTTACACGTGAAGCACTTCAATTCTATCAATCAACATTATTTAGTCAAAATATAACACTAGAAGGTATGGGGAAAATCTGGATTCAGAATATTTTTTTTTTGTCCTCTGCTTGAACAGAGTATTTTTTGTCATCAATTTTTAAAGAAAAATACTAGTCCAAATAATTATGACGTCCAGGAAGGCTATTTTAAATTTTTGCTTTGATGCTTCCTGCGACACACCAAAAAAAAATACCATACCTCCTTCTGCCTTTTGAAGTTCAATGATCTTTCCCTAAACATTTTCCATCTAAACTTATCATTTTATTTTAGACAAAAACTATATGTAGGACATTCGTCCTGAACATGCATGAAATATTTGCCACTGGGCTTTCAGCAAACCAACAATCAATCAATATGTAGGACATAGTTTTGGTAAGCTGGCATTCAAGGTAGCGCCTTTCTCATATTAATGTAAAATTAATCATATCAATCTATTCTGATTTAACTAAAACAATCTTTAACTTTAAACAAATTAAAAACCGAACGAAGCTTGTATAATTCTAAAATTTCAAAGTTGACGCAGTCTGGCATAGATATGCATCCCTGAAGAAAAAAAATGTGCGATATGAGCTGGTGCAATTCTAAAATTTCACAGGTTTCATAAATTTTCATAAATTTCATATATATATATGCTCTTTAAAAAAAAACATCTGTAGATTGTTTTTTCTGTGTACCACTAGAATCTACACAGTTGTAGATTGTTTTTTCTGTGTACCACCAGAATCTACACAGTTAGAGTTTTTAATAAAGACATTGCTTTCTTTCTCTTGATGGATCATATTGGTTTTGCCGAAATTATTGAAAACATTTCACATATGCTAAAAACATCTGTACTGATCAGGTAAATATAAACGCATCATCCCAAAACTCATTTGTAGACGTTATATTCTTTACCTATAGAAGTTGCAGATTTGGGAATGTTTAAAGTAAAAATATCCGCCATCGAGTGTGAATAAACTGAAACGGGCATATCTAATATTTAAAACAAAAAGCGAAAGTAATCTGCTGAAATTTTCAGAAGTCCAGGTAATCGATTATCGTTTACATTGTTTGTAATAATTACAGGATAACCAATCGATCCTTTACCTTAAATGTCTCAATGATCGATCGTTTACCTAATTGTTTCAATGATCGATCGTTTACCTAAGTAAAATCAAAATCATTGATTTTTTACAGGTGATGTCAATTGTTCCCGTGGTTACATTCAAACAAAATGGCGCCTCATCCTAGTTGGAATTTTATGTTATTTTCCTTTGTGTTGAAAGGTAAAATACGGATGTATATGCACTGACCTTCTTTGTTTTTACACACTTGTTAGTAAGCAATATCTTTCATTATTGATGTTAAATGGTCAAGTATAAACAACTCTTCAATTAAATAAGCGTTAGAACTGAGATAAAAATTGATCTTACCGTTAAAAAATTTGTACATTTCAATATAGGCACTAAGGATACAAAATATGTATGTAATACTGCAATAACCTATATTTAAATTTATAGTCTGTAGAAAATTACTATAATATGTACCTGAGCCACGACAAACCTCTAGACAAAATGCGATGTTACACTAAGAAAAAAAATCAATTGTTCTCATCAAATCAACGACTGAAACAACGTATTCTAGTTGTTTTTAGTTCCACGGCTGCAAGCTAAAATCTGTTTAATCTAGCCAATTAGAAAGCATAACGTACCTTAATTTAGCAAGCAGATGTTAAAACAGTATCATCTACACCATTATGAATTGGTTGACGCAATTTCTGTGTCACGAATGACCACGAATATTTTTCCATGTGTAGCTTCCTTTCTGCCAACTTATCACCCCGAAACTTGTGCAACACAACGGGTGTCACATTTATTAACAAATACTTAGTCCTTAGATTTTTGTTTTGGCTAACTTATGTTGGTGGTTTGCTGTCGCAATGATGTTTACACACATTTCGAAGAAAAATATTCCTGGTTGTTTTGTGGATCATCACTACATATTTCCTCAGAGAGAAGTTTCTTATGCTTTGCCAAAATGGAGATTTAAGCAATCTTTTTATTTTTTAAATATTATAGAAAATATGGGTCACGGTGTTATTTTTCAAGCTACAAGTTGTGCAGAATTGCCCAGTTTTGCATAGATTATTCATGAAAAAAACATTTTATGAGAATAGAAGGAAATCTATTAAATATTTAGAAAATAAAACGAAAAAATGGTGTCACCGAACTTGTTTTCTTGCTAAAAGCATTTGTTAAGAACGTTATATTTTTGTTTGATGTGAAGCATTTGTTAAGAACTTTATATTTTTGTTTGATGTGAAGCATGTGTTAAGATCGTTTTGTGTTTTTATAGTATGCGAGGCATTTGTTAAGAACGTTTTGTTTTTGTAGTATGTGAAGCATTTGTTAAGAACGTTTTGTTTTTTATAGCATGTGAAGCATTTGTTACGAATGTTTTGTTTTTGTAGTATGTGAAGCATTTGTTAAGAACGTTTCGTCTCTATAGTATGTGAAGCATTTGTTAAGAACGTTTTTTTTTTTGTAGTATGTGAAGCATTTGAGTTCTGTACCGAACATTCTTCTCTCTCAAATACAGTTTACTACATGTACTGTGAATATAGTTGTTGTGGATACATACATAACAGATATTGTTGCGAGAATTTGTAAGTACCATAATTATGATAGTTAAATCTTTGTAAGTACCATAATTATGATAGTTAAATCTGAGCATCATTATTGTTATGATTGTAGTAAGTTTTGAAATATTCAAATATAGAAGTTGAAAATTTAAGAAATGTTTTTCTTCTTTTTATTTTTTCACTTATATCATTTTTTATTCGCAATAAAAATTATTTAATTGGTTCTGCTGTAATTTATATTTTATATATACATTTAGGCATTGTTTTACCTTGGATACTATTCTAATTTAAGTTTACATAGCCACGGTTATTTTGATTTCTACTACTTTTTGATATAAGAGTCAACGGAAATACAAAATATGAGAGGATTTTTAATGATTTTTTTTTAACATCATGTTAGTTTCATGTTAATCGTTCATGTGTAAAGATGTTCAGCTTATTTCCATAGATGATGACTGTTTATTAAAGATAAGGCTTCAAAATTTCCTTTTCTTTCCGGAGTTTTAAACGTTGGGCATTATGACCGTTATTATGCAGTAAATATAAAGGAAAGGGTATGTGATATTAATACCAATGAGGTAACTTGCTACGAATGTGACCTACCGAATTAGACTATTTACCGGATTTGTAATAACATGAGCAACACGACTGTTGCCACATGTGGAGCAGGATCTGCTTACCCTTCCGGAGCACCTGAGATCACCCCCAGTTTTTGGTGGGGTTCGTGTTGCTTAGTCTTTAGTTTTCTATGTTGTGTCTTGTGTACTATTAATTTTCTGTTTGTCTTTTTATTTTGTCAGTTATTTTCGATCTACGAGTTTGACTGTCCCTCTGGTATCTTTCGCCCCTCTTTTGCTACCGTTTAACAAGGAGAAAAAATTGGGTCAACTTTTTGGAAACTGAACTTGATTGTAAAAAATGAACACAGCACTTTATAAATTTCATGCGTCCGAGGCCATGGAAGCGCTTTTCATAAAATGACCTTAATTAAGGCCGAATATTTGAAAGCCAAGGATATAAAATGACCTTAATTAAGGATATTTGAGAACCGAAACAGTTGAAGAGCTGCATGACCAAAAAAATCAATAGCCACATCCATAGTAGATCAACTTTAACTGAGGTATTTGAAACCTTTGTTTCTTATAATTTAAAACAGATTTCAAAGTAAAAAGATTTTAATGTTCAATATCATTTTTTTTCAGTTCAGGTGTAATAGCTGGAGCGGTTATAGGATCTATTGTTTTTCTTGGAATAATTATTGGTGTTATTTTGTGTGTTGTAAAGAAGAAAGGACATCGTGGGACAGTGATAACACCTGCTGCTGGTGGTACACACATTACACAACATTCAGTCGCATTTGGTATGATATCATATTCCCCCAGTCGCAAACACACCTACACACCTGCTGGTGGTGGTTTACACATTTCAAAAAATTCAATCGCATTTGGTATGTTATCATTTCCCCAATTGCAAACACACACCTTCATACCTGCTGCTAGGGTAAACGCATAGCACAACATTTAGTGGCATATAATATGATATTATTTCCCCCAGTCGCAAATAAAATAAATTGAGAATGGAAACGGGGAATGTGTCAAAGAAACAACAACCCGACCAAAGAGCAGAAAACAGCCAAAGGCCACCAATTGGTCTTCAAAACAGCGAGAAAATCCTCACATGCACACCTGCTGATGCAGCCACACACTACGTCGTATTTGGTATGTAATCATTTCCAGCAGTACAGTCGCAAACACACATACATATATGCATACACACCTGCTGCTAGTGGTACATACATTACACAACATTCAGTTGTATTTGGTGTGTAATTATTTCCCCCAGTCGCAAACACACACATCGTACTTGCTGCTTGGTATACACACTTTACACAACATTCAGTGGCATTTGGTATGTTATCATTTTCCCCAGTTGCAAGCACACATACATACATCCCTGTTGGTGGTGGTCCACATACACGTTACGCAACATCCAGTGGCATTTTGTATATTATCATATAATTATCACCAGTCGGAAGCACACACTTTACACAACATTCAGTCGCATTTGGTATGTTATCATTTCCCCCAGTCGCAAATACTCATATACACAGTGATATGGTCATAATTATAAATTAACACTTCGCAAAACTTTTTTTCGAAATACTAAGGATGTTCTACCCCAGAAATAGATTATCGTAGCTGTATTAGGCAAAACTATGAGTTCTCAATGCTCTAAAACTTCGTACTTTGTTTGTCCTTTTTTACTTTATTGATTCGAGCGTAGAAACTCTAAAGTTTGTTATCTATGATGAGTTTATTTACAATCACTGGGTCGATGCAAATCCTGGCGGAGGTTTCCTCCCGGCGAGTATCACCAGCCTTTTAGTCCGCACTTCTGTGTTGACATGAAATGCCATTGATTTGGTCATACTTATAAATTTACTGTTTACAAAACTTTGAATTTTTCGAAAAGCTAAGGATTTTCTACCACAGAAATAGATTACCTGAGCAGCATTTGACAAAACCTTTTGGAATTTTGGGTCCTCAATGATCTTCAACTTCATACTTTATTTGGCTTTTTCAACTTTTTCGATTCGAGCGTCACTGATGAGTCTTTTGTAGGTGAAACGCGCGTCTGGTGTACAAAATCTTTAGCTTGATATATAGATGAGTTTAAATACACCCCTGCTGCTGATGGTCCACACATTACACAACATTCAGTGGGATCTGATATGTTAAGATAAACAAAATGATAAAGGTTCTCTTGGTAACTCATTAGTCACATAAATTAGTACAGAAACCATTAGGATATCGTTAATAACGGTCAACAGTTCACTACGTAGAAAAGTGAAGATTGACAAAACGAAACCCATCGTTAACCAACAGTGAACTCAGGAAGGGCGACAAACATTATTGAAAAAGTATTCAAATTATGTAGAGTGGGTGGCGCATATTCGCCGTGGACACATTTTCGCCGTTCCTGCAATTTTTTCTGTAAATTTCGTGTGCCTTTACATAATACTTGCCTAAATAGATGGTAAACGCTGTTCGTAATGTTCGAACTGTTGATATTCCTCTTTACCCCATTTCCAATGTTATTCGCACATATAAAGAAATACGCAGGTGTTTTTGAATGATTTTGGCAATTATGTAAGATTTATATGGCACGCATGCGCAGTCATAAAGTAAATATTTGTTAGAAAAATCGTATTGGAATGATCTCTCAAGCTAATTCATGTAATTCCAAACAATTATTTTTATAATATACAAGGATAATGAGGATGGTCATATCATACATTTCGGCAAAAATGTGTCCCCCATGGTACAAGAACAACTTGATTTCCTCTCGAGTTTGCGTTCATTTTTAAAACATTTAACCAATGTTTTGAAGAGAATTCCTTTATCAAACTTTTTTTTCATATAGTAAACTTTTTGAAACCTATATAAAAAGTTTCAAATATTCGAATGTAGGTCGGATGTAGGTGGAAGTGAGCGAATTTTGCGACGAATATGCGTCACCCACTCTAGTTACTTATAAAATCAACATTGTAAAATGCTTACATTACCAACGATCGGACATTGGCGTCCTCCAACAGATTAATTCATTTAGATTTATTTGATTTAAGAAAAATAACTTAGTACATACTACCGAGATATTTACGTTCTATAGTACAAATAGTGCAAGTTACCAGTAACAATTATACATACTTCCGAGATACGTACTTTCTTTAGAAAACATAGCGCGAGCTACCAGTAAATGAGAAGCGAACGATACCAAAGGGATAATCAAACATGTTGAAAACAAACTGACAACGCCAGGGCAAAAAAAAAACGAAAAAAAAAATAATAAAAATCAACAGTATACAAAACACAACATAGAACTCAAGACTGAGTAACGCGTAACAACTCTACATATAGAAACTCCCATCAACGATACAAAATACGATTGCTAACTCAGGACTAGCGTGACATCAAACACTCAGGTTTTGGTTCTTTTTTTAAACAATTGTCTGATCTTTTCATAAGTGAAAGCATTATTGATTTTATATGAATTATGAATTAAATGACAAAATAGATGTATTAGTTATTCGAAATGATTGAAGAATAATTAATTATACATTACAATAATTCTTCATTAATATTACAGTAACGGCTACACAGATCCAGCCACCAACCTACTCACAACTTCCACCTGCTTATGGAGTTGCTCCTGGGTACCAGGCTACATACTCGTACCCACCAACACCAATGTTTGCTCCTTTGGGAACATATCCTCCGCCCCCAGCTTATCCACAGGATGTTGCATATCCACCGACAGCTCCACCTTATGCAGCGCAGCCATCATCAAAAACTTAGCGAGTTCATTGTTTCATAGATAATGAATCAGTAATAACAATCATCTGAATACTCATTAGACACAAATGCATAATTGTCTTAAACAATTCAACGTTTTACATCAGAACGTACTCATATCATATTCATTTTCAATACTTGAATAGTTTGTCAAGTTTGGATATTCTCGATTTTAGATGTTGAAATTTCCTTAAAGGGGCACTAGCTACGAGATATAAAAAAATCTAATATATGATTGTTTTTGTTCAATCATTAATGAAAGTGAAATAGTGAAATACTTATTCACTTTTAGCAGCCAGTATGGTTCAATTTTGTCAAAATAAGCTAAGAAACATTGATGATGAATTATTCACTTGCAAGTAAATAATTCGATCTCATTGAATCCGTATTCATGTGAACTTCAATTTAACCCCTTAGCTAGAGATGGATAACACGTGAATTGTATGTGTAAAGTTATTTAAAGGAAAAGAATGTCATTATTGAAAGTGAAACAAAGGTAAATCATTTGATCGACTGATTCAATCCACAAAAAATCATTCTTATACAGGTAAAAACGATGATAAACATATATTTTTAATCTATAATAAGAAATTCAACAGACCTAGAAAAATCCAATAGCACGAGTTCGCTTAATCTATTTATATCTATATTTATGTTTACATCGCTTATATGGTCATCAGATGACTTTGGAGGTCAACTCGATAGTTAATTAGATGGTGTCTAGACTAAATACACACGAAAAGAATCTACGTATTATCATGCCCATGCCCTGTTAATTGTTTATTTTAGACTTTTAATAGTTTGGATAAATGTTTTACATTGTTATAAATCAAATAAGAGAATTTGAGTCAAATCGGTGAACATGAATTTGACAGCTAGTGCCCCTTTAAACAGTTTCAATTATTTTTACAAAGCATGTATAATACATATGATTATGAATTTGGACACGAAATTGAAATCAAGAAAAAGAGTTTTTGTAAATCTCAAAATCAAATATATTTGATAAGTTTACACTGAACTACTGATATCTATATATGTTTTTTGTATAAATAATTGTTCCAACAAAATAACAATTTGAAAATTCAGCTTTGAATCAACAACTTTGTGATATATTTAAACTGTTTGAATTTAGTTTTCTAAAATAAAGCTTAAAACTATGTATATGATTGCCTCAGTGATACTTAAAAAGCAGAGAAAAATGTATCCAAGCCAAAATGTATGATTAGGATGGTCTTAGTGAAGACTCGTCGAAATCATACTAGACCAAAACATCAAACGGCTACATGTTTTTTAAGACACATTCATCATTTAGTAATAAATACTTTAGCTGGTTCTATTTTGGTCTCTGTTTTTCGTAATAACTTTACCGCCTAGGTAAGAAAATAACCAAAATATGATTACCTCTCAATTTTCCGACGAATATTTAAATGATATAAATAATCTGTGTAATGTTATGTATGGTATTATTCAATATTATAATTAAAATAACATTATTGGTACCAATTTTACTGCACTCGATGTTCACTTCGACAATTAAAGTATAATCAGTACTAATGTTGCTCGAGGCCAAAAGTTCTAAAAAATTCAAATCCTAATACACCGTTGAAAAGCTGAAAATTTCTAAAACCTTCATTTATTTTTTGCGTTTAAAATATTAACGGTACAAATTTTACTGTACCAGATTCGAATTCGACAATACATGTCTTTTTAGTGCTGCTCGAGACCAAACTATTTGAAAATTCAAGACTTATTCATAAAAGGAAAAGCTGATAAAACCCAAAAAAAGAAAATTTATAGCCAAAATCTGGATTAGGAATTAGAGCTTTGCATTAGTGGGATATATTCCTTATTTTAAAATAATTTTTAAAATGTTTATAATTAAAGGCAACAGTAGTATACCGCTGTTCAATAGTCATAATTCGATTAAGAAAAACAAATCTAGGTAACAAACTAAAACCGAGGAAAATACATCAACTATAAGAGGAAAACAACAGAACAACGGAAACACTTAACTACAACAAAAGCAAACACCAACATACATAGAAACGGACTTTAGATAACAATGTAGATATAAATGTTCTCCAAATCAGGAGGTATTTTTTAATTAATGAAACATATCGTATATGTACTGTTATACATTTGTGTAATTACACTGATGAATCATCGCACCTCTACTTTAGTGTCTAAATCATTGATTTGCTATAGGTGATGTCAGTAGTTTCTTTTCCTTGGATTCATTCAACTAACATGGTGCTTAATCAAAGAACTATTTCGTTATTTCTCCTATTTTCCCTTATTTTAAAAGGTACAGTACTAATGTTTATATAATCTTTTTCTATGTTTTAACTCACGACTGCTATTCGAAAATATCTTGTAGCGTTATTGTTGATACGTCTTTAATTATAATCGATTTTTTAATTTTTTACTGAATTAAGGAGTTACAGGTGATTAAAACAGGTTCAAAGGATGAAGATATGCGAAACTGTGAAACTATATATATAAGGTTATATATAACATGTAAAAATTATCAACAGAATGTAACTAATTCAATGAATTAAGTCTAAATTGGAAATAAAATATGTACAAAATTCCAATAAGGATATATCGAATCGTGTTCAAATGTCAATCAAGAAAGAAAAATTTACCAGAAGAATAATATGTATACTTCATTTTAGTTGTACAATAAAATCAAATTAATTAATTGATCAAACTATTCACAAAAACTGAATTGTATGATTCAAAGCTACGTTATGTATAATTTAGCTGATGAGTATATAAGCTTTGAAGAACCTAGAAGGAAGCTATTGAAACAAAGCATCTCAATGGTCATCATAATAAGATTGACATACTGTTTGTGTCATAGATGAAAGTAAAATAACAAAAATACCGAGCTCCAAAGAAAATTCAAATCGGAAAGTCTTTATCAAATGGCAAAACCAAAAGCTCAAACACACCAAACAAATGGAAAACAACTGTTATATTCCAGAATTAGCACAGGCATTTACTTGTGTAGAAAATGGTGTATTTTATGAGCAATGATAAATATCATTTGTGGTAACCACAATTCCGTCATGTCCTTATCACTGCTGTGACTCATCAACGAACTTGCGATGATGAGCACAATAGTTACAACTTATGTCATCTATTTTATGCAGACTTATATGAGTCTTTTCCTTTCAATTTGACAGTGCATCGCAATCCTATTTGGTTGGCTGTAATATAAGTCTTTTGGATGAAATGTGTTCAGTTGCTCGCTGAACGTTTATAGTTAATTTCCTTTTTTCCCGAGGTTTATTAAATATATATAGCTGTTTAGTAATAAAAACATGTACTAGACGTATTTATTTACCTTAATCGACTCGTTACTGCTAAGAAATAAGAAACAGTAATTGATTTTCACTTCTTTGAACTGCGTTCCGTTAAGTTGCATTCGTCCAGTGCTAGAACAAAAAAGAACAACCAGTCCTCTATATATCTAATTGAATAACACAAGAAACAGGGATTTGACGGAGTAAATTCAGGCAAAAGTACTTTACCGATGTTCAAATCTCATAGATCGATTAAGAAGAAAAATCAATGGTAACAAAAAATAACTGAGGGAATCGCGTGAACTCAAAAAAGGAGCGAAACCGGGTGCGTCGACAGGGTAACCGTATCGGTCCTTATTGTTAATTTCTGGATGTTCATGTCATGTTTGCCCTTCTTACGTGTCTGAACTGACGTTTAATATTTCAATTTACAGAATTTAGATATAAAAAATGAAAACAATACTTTATAAATTTCATGTTTTCGAAGCGCTTTTCTGGATGTACCTGCATTCGGAATGCTCAAAGCCGAATATTTGAAAGTTAAGGATGTATAAGGACCGAGACAGTTCAATAACTTATGACAAAAAATTACCTTAATATAGTAGCCAAATTATCTAAGGTCAACTTTGCCAGAGGGAGTTGAAACCTTAGTTTCTAAATAATTTATAAATTAATAAACGGTCAATTTAAGAACTGGTAAATCAGGAATTTCGTTACCACAAATTACTTAAATCCTTTTCTAATTTCTTTCATAGATGCAAATATTTGGTTTGGGAGTTTTGTGTTTAGAGTCCGTCAATTCAAACATGGTCCATGTAAAGTTACTAAACCCTTGAATAAACTTATTCTTAAAGGTAATAAATTTTACATTGTAGTAAGAGCTTTTAATATTGTCTTTATCAGATCTTACATTAATTTTGTTATTGATATAGGCAACGATAATTAACCGATGTCATAAATCAATTATAAAGTCAAATCAAGGTAAAAAAAAAACTAAAACTGAGAAAATTGCATGCATTCAAAAGGAGCGAGACCGGATAACTCAACAGTGTAAGCGTCTTCTGCAAATAAATATAACTTTTGAATATGTTTTGCTTTACAGTTATGAACACTTAGATCCTGTCGGTACTTATATTGTGGCATTTAATCAAAGTCTTTACACTTAATCTGTTGGATGTGAACTGATTGATATTTTAGTCTGGGAAAATAGGATATATCTATTCGTTGTAATTTGATTTGAACTAGCTTTCAGAAACTGCGAGTACTCTTAGATCGGTACTTGGTGTCTTTTGTCCTATTTTGTTAGTTGGTTTTTATGTGATTCATGCCAATCTGTTGAGCCAAGTCCTTTCCAAATGATTCTACCGTTTATTCTTATATTGTGTCGTTAGACCACTGTCACCGGTTAGGGAAAGGGAAGGGTTGAGCGCTCGAAAACATGTTTAACCCCTCCATATTCTGTATGTACTTGTGAATGATTGTCGTTGGTTGATGTTTGTCATATTTGTTTTCTTTTTGGTCCTAAATCAGGCCGTTAGTTTTTTGCTTGTTTGAATTGTTTTACATTTTGTCATGTTGGGAATTTTTATTGCTTACTAAACCGTTATGGGTGTTTTTCATTGTTGAGGGTCGTACGGTGACTTATAGTTGCTAACATCCATGTCATTCGGTCTCTGTTGGTTAGTTGTCTTATTGGTAATTATATTAAATCTCCTTATCTATAAATTGTGATCGATCAACTCTCCCCTAAATTTGAACAAAAGATTTAGAACAAACGAATTGAGAAAACCACAAAAACTAAATAATTTTTGGTAAACCGTGGACAGCGGTCATTTGCATAAACAGTTGATACGCTTGCTTTTTAAGCTGTAAAATATGACCAATTTCATAAATATGTGGATTTCAGTCTTTTTTCTGAACGGGAACTCCTCTCTTTTAATACCTGGCTGAATGGACAAAAAATAAAAAAATAATAAAAAAAGATATATAAAAAGCGGAAAGGAAACAGTTGTGTAAAAATAGCATGATTACGAAACTTGATGTTCCTGTTCACTTCGTTTAACTCTTATGAAGCTACAACAATATCTATTCTGAAATCCCTTTTTTATCAACGAAAGTTCTCGAATCGATCAAAGTAATGTGACATGTATACTACTTGTACAAGAATCTCATGAATATGTTCTAGTTATCGTTACGACAATTCTGTCTTCCTTTCCTCGATTGAGACTCATCACCGGATTTTGTACTAACCATAACCAACACGATTGGTACGACTAGTAGAGGAGGCTTTGCAAACCCTTCCGGAGCGCCTCAGATGATCCTCTGTTCTGGTGGGGATCGTGTTGCTCAGTCTTTCGTTTTCTATTTAGTGTTTAGTGAACTTGCCGGTTTGTCGTCTTTTATTGTTTTGCCATGTCAGTTTCTCTCGACGTATGAGTTTTTAATGTGCCCTTGGTATCTACCCATTTTAAGGAGTTGAAATCATTTTTGTTTTGAAGATTTTTTTTTATGCTTTCATATATTCAGTAGACCCTACCGATATATTTCATTGGAGTCGCTGGCCTCTTATCCAGCAAAGCACTTCGGACGTACGAAATTAATAGTGTTATTTCATTTACTATCTTTCGGTAGATACCATAATAAATATTGCTATATTTAGGTCCATTTGGTCAAAAAGCTCTTCACGTGTTTAGGTCTTATACATCCTTGGCTTTCAAAATATTGAATTTGAGCGTTCCTGATAAAGGGAAATTCAGAAAAGAGCTTCGTACGCACGAAATTGATAGTGTTATTATCATTTACTAGCACTGTTTCGATTCCATTGCTAATGGACTGTTAGTCTCCGGGGTTATCATGGACTTAGTAGTCAGTGCTTCGGTACTGGCATTATTTATAACACACTTTTCTTATATTTTTAGTTTATAAATTACGAAATGATTTAGTAACTAAGGTTTCAACTTCCTCAGGCAAAGTTGACCTTAGATGACTTTGGCTATTTATTAAGGTCTCATTTGGTCACAGAAC